AGAATCATGGATAGGGACTGGATGTGAACAGACTAGGAAGTTCACGGGTACACTGGTTACTCTTTCCCATGAGCATATATTTGGAGCTCAGAGTCTAGCAATAATGCTAATACAGCCTGGGACAGAAATTGCTATTTTGTTAGTGTTAATTGATTGTTATACTGGCTGGTATAACCTTGACTATTTTACCTAAATTAAAACTTTAAAAAAATTATTAGTCATTAATTATAATACATTTTCCTTTCACACTTCCTCTGAGTTCCCAGCATTGAAGGAGCAGAGATACTCTAGAAGGAGACAAACAATCTTTCTTGTATCATCAACTTCAATAAAACAGGAAACATTTCTCTCCAAATTTTATCATTGTGTCACTACTCTGTAGTTATCTACCACATAGCTCAAGACAGAAATGGAATTATTTCATTTTTATTAGAGATAACTTATTTTAGCATGTTATCTTAATTCGGAGATTACTCAAGGTGGTTGCAAATAATTTCTACTGAAATAAAATGCCCTGGCACATGTAAGAATTATAAAACTGTCTGGTTGAAATCCTCTACTCTCTTGGATACTCTAAGCCAAATTAATTGATCTTTTTAGGTGGAACAATTCAACTTTCCATATTATCACTGGTCTTTTCTAGAACTTCATCTTTATTTACTTATTTATTTATTATTTTTTGAGATGGAGTCTCACTCTGTAACCCAGGCTGGAGTGCAGTGATGTGATCTCCATTCACTGCAATCTCCACATCCTGGGTTCATGCCATTCTCCTGCCTCAGCCTCCCAAGTAGCTGGGACTACAGGTACACGCCGCCATGCCCAGCTAAGTTTTTGTATTTTTAGTAAAGACAGGGTTTCATTGTGTTAGCCAGAATGGTCTCGATCTCCTGACCTTGTGATCCACTTGCCTCGGCCTCCCAAAGTGCTGGGATTACAGGCATGAGCCACCGTGCCCGGCCTTCATCTTTATTTTTAACTAAGACATACTATATATTCTTCACGCAAAAACTTCTGTGATGCTGTGTGCCTTCAGGAGATAAAATAGCAAATTAGTACTATCCCAGAACAATTTCTGCTTTATTAAGCTGTCAAACAGTAATATATTGGAATGTTAGTAAGGACTTACTGATTTATTAATTCCATTTCCCCTCAAAAAATCAAGGAAGAGCAATTTTCAAACATTTATTAGGTTCATGCTATTTGGGTCTCTTCTTTGTTTTATATGTACAGAAGTTTTAATATATCTACAATTAAGTCTATCAATCTCCAGTTATGATTTGTGCCTTCAATGTCATGTTAGACAAGGTTATGAAATTATTTGCCAATCTATTTTCCTCCAGTTATGTCTCGGTCATTGTTCTGCTTTTATCAATCTGACAAATTATTTGTATATTGTATAAATAAAATATCCAAATTTACATGTTTTCCTAATATTAACTAATTATTGTTGTTGTGCTTTTTGAAGAGTCACTACTTTCTCCATCAACATAAAATGTGGTTTTTCTTATGCACTAATTTTACATGTGCTTTGATCTGTTTGGGGTTTTCTCAGACTGACTTGGCTTCTCTAAGTTTCTATGTTAGTAAATAGTACCACACAGTTTTAATAATTATAACTTTTTAATATGCTTTAATACAGGGAAATAGCAAGTTTCATCTTTCTTCTTTTTTCAAAAATGTACCTTTTCCAGACTGTCCATGCTTCCAGATGAATTTTAATAATCATTTTGCCAAGCTCTCTCCCAAGTCCTTTTTGGGATTTTAAATGAAATTGTACTAACTTTATAAATTAATTTGAGGAAGCTAACATCTGTTCAACATCTATTATTCTCATCCAAGAATATAATATAAACCTTCATTACTGCTAATTTTTTTTCTGCATAACACACTTAACAGCCAATTGTTTATCTTGTATTTCTCTATAGATATTATTTTCTTAATTTAAGTCTTGTACATTTCTTTAACAGTTTATTCATAGCTATATAATATTTAATTGCTATGATGAGTTTTTTGAATGTTTTTTATTTGCTGCTGTCATAGAAAAACCAACTGATTTTTACACATTTATCTTTTGTAGGGTTACTTAACAAAGTTCATTACCCTAATGGTTCTTCAGTTAATTTTCTTGGGATTTTTAGTAAAATATATATTTTTAGCAAAAAAAATGTAACCTTTTTTATAATAATTATCATCTTTGAGAGGCAGCATAACATGGTATTTATGATTAAAGACTCATGGGTCAAACCATATGAGTTTTAATTCAGCTCTACTACTTATTAGCTTCATGACCTTGGCCTTGTTACTTAGCATCTCTTGGCCTCAGCTTCCCAATTTGTAAAATAGAATGATAATAGTCCATATGTCCTAGGATTGTTGTGAGGATTAAATGAGTTAATATTTGTAAAGCATTTATAACAGTTCCTAGCATATATAGGAAAAATGCAGAAAATATTAGTCTTTTAAAACATTTATTGCATTGATTAAAATTTGTTAAATGGTATTAACTATAAGTGATGAAATTGGTCATGTAGTAAGCTACTAGGGTTTTTCTGCTTTGTTGAAATCACTTTTTTGTATTTTAATGACATCTCTCTATTCCTAAATTACTACGTTACATGTATGTGTATTTTCTTAAAAGAAATATGGTTGCATTTTATCAAAGGTCATTTGAAATCTATTTGGAAGTTAAAATAGGGGTTTTATTCTTTGGTCTAAGATTATGAAATCACTTTAATAAGTTTCCTGATACTGAACCACTTTCACATACCTAGAATAAACACCATGTGTTGTATTATTCTATTTTATTGATAACTACATTCTTTAGCTAGTATTTCAATGAATTTTTATGATTTTCTTTTTTGTGATACTTTTATTAGTTTTGTTTTTTTCTTTTACTTTTTTAGTATTGTGCTTCTTAATAAATAAATCAGAAAAATGTTTTCTCTTTCAAAGAATTCATAGAGTATAGGGATAATTTGTTCCTTAAGAGTGTGTATTTCTAGTAACTGATTATAAATAGCTGATGAAAATAAGATACTATAGTCATTTAAACATAGTGCTTTACCTCCCACCAAACATTTCTATTCAAGCTGGTCAAAGACATAGGCTTATGCATCCGACAAAATTAGGCTCAAGTCCTAACTCACCACCCACTTGCTAAATGTGTGCATTTGGCAAAGTATGCTTGTATCACAAGAAATAACCATGCCTCCTTACCTTCCTCAGAGAGTTATTGTGAGAATTAAATAAGATTATGCTTATAAATCACTGTATACTCAGCCCGCAATATAGACCTAATAAATTATTTTATATATTAGTTTTAATTTTCCTTAAGTATAAAATTAATTTGTATTTATAATTCTACTTATTTTGTTCTCATATGGAGATTCTAGTGGTTTATGTAGAAACATAAATGGTTTGGGTAAAATTATTTGTGTGAAATTAGTTTATAATAAAAGTAGATTTTAATTAGGACATGTTATTCTTAAATTTATTTTTAGACATGTTGACATAAATTTAAATTTTCACATCAAAGTGAAAATGCTCTGGTGAGCCATGGAAATGAACCTATTGTCAATGTTTAAACGAAATCACGGAGGGTTAATAGGAAAGTTGTACACTAGTTTTAAGAAGACTAGGCAATGAGCCTAAACCAAACGTAATGTCTTCCACTCCTTCCTGCTCCCCTGGAGTTGTGTTCTAGTAGGAATATGAGAGGGGGAGAAGAACTTTGGAGCCTCCCCTCAGGCTGCAGCTGACCTTGGGTTCTCTTGGTCTGTCACCTAAGCTGCAGTGGAGAAGCAAGGTTCTCACACTGGGTAGGAGAATGTAGCACTAAGGGATCCAGGTGCCCTCAAATACAAGTTTTACCAAACTGATAACATTTATATATTTTTTATTTATTTATTTATTTTTGTTATACTTTACGTTCTGGGATACATGTACAGAATGTGCAGGTATGCATGTGCCATGGTGGTTTGCTGCACCCATCAACCCACCATCTACATTAGGTATTTCTCCTAATGTCATCCCTCCCCTTACCCCACACCCCCTGACAGGCCCCGGTGTGTGATATTCCCCTCTGTGTCCATGTATTGTCAGTGTTCAACCCCTACTTATGAGTGAGAACATGCGGTGTTTGGTTTTCTGTTCCTGTGGTACAAACTGATAACAATTTTACGAAATACTAATAAGACTGCAATATGAATGTGGCCTCAGTTTTCAAAGGATGCACTACTGATGTAGGCAAGTACGAGTACATACAGATATCTGTCCTAAATAGATAGATAGATAGATAGATAGATAGATAGATAGATAGATAGATAGATAGATAGATGATAGATAGATAGGTAGGTAGGCAGGCAGGCAGATAGGTAGGTAGATAGATAGATAGATAGATAGATAGATAGATAGATAGATAGATAGGAGATAGATAGGACAGATATCTGTGAGATACCAGAACACAAAAACCTGTCTCTGAAACAAGTATTAACTTGAGGTTTAGTCATCAAGAATATTTAATTGTATGTACTAATTATAATTCTGTTACTATGGTCTCTAAGGAGAGTAGTAATAAGAAAAGCAGTCAGTTTATAAGATCTGATAGGCAGTATGAATTTCTCTTCTATTTTAAAGGCTATAAATTTCAAAATATCATTCTGATGGGCAAGCCGCCTCTAAGAGAACCATTTAAATAGGCACAGCTAAGAGTGGAAATATCTAACCAAACTCAGCCTCTACTAATCACTTATCCCTGGCAGACACGAGTTGAAAATGTGTACCTCAAGGTCCCAGTATGTATTGTTTGCTATTAATTAGAAATTAACAGTATATTCTATCAACCTTATATTAAACTACATTGTTTTCTAAAATGAAGATATCCCACCTTACATTTTCTTTGCTGTCATCTGGCTTTATAGCAACAAATATATTTTTAGGAACATGTTCAATATATTATTCCATATGTTCCAAGATCAACGGAACAAAAATGTACTTACTCCTATCTTTCCTGTCCCTGGCACAGGGTTTCCTGCTTCTCCCAGAGTTCTCTTGATGGAGTGTCTTTTCAGTATAGCATGACTCCTGAAGGAAACAAAGGCAGGAAAAGATTTATTAAGATAAACATCTCTAGTTTCTTGTCTCTTGCAAAAAAGAACAAGTTGTTCCTTAGACAAAAACGTCTAATTTAGTGACCAAATGTCACATGTTTTTAAAACAACATTCACTGTCTTTTTTATTCCTTTCCCCAAATTGTTTTATTCAGTTTCTCTGAGAGCAAGAGCAGGACAAATTTTCTCGAGTAAGCAGCTCCATACACCCAGATAAATAAGGAATATATTTCTTTGTATTATTTTGTTCACCATTCAAACACATCAATTGTATTCTGAGCAGTCTCTCTTGTGTTTTGCTCTAAAACTGTGTAACATGAACAGTTAGAGACATTCTTACTGAATAGTAAAATCAACAAGAAAGCAAGATTTTTAAATATATTTTCAAATTTCCATTGAAAATAGATTCACTAGGTGAATGATAGCCTTTCTCAAATGTGTGATTTAAAAAGCAATATATCCCTGCAACTGTTCACCTTTGAATTTAAATACCAAGGAGCAAGGACATTGTTTTCCTAATCATGAGATCTAGTGATTGGAATTGTTGGAGAGAAATGAATCCAATAAAATCCAGTCTATGCATAACGCCTCACCATCAAGAGGCAATATAACATTTTGCTATGAATAGGTAGCAAATTCACTTGAATTTTTTTTCTGATGATATTCTTTTAGGTATTTATATGTAAAGAAAAGTCACCATTTAAAAACTGGTTATGAGCTTTAAATAGCTGGAAAACAACCGAGTTCTTTTCATTTACATATATACTTCTGTGGAGGTGGCCACAGTTGATCACTGGGTTAACCAGATGCCCTTTCACTCAGGCAGTCTACATATTTGAGCAGACACATAGTAAATGCTTAGATGTTAAAAATGAATGAGACATGTCTCTTTCATTTTATGAAGATCATCTGTTTTTTTTTCTAAATGTGGGGCCAGTAATGTCAACATTCTTCTCTTTGTATACAAGGTTATTCAGAGCAGAGAAGAGTCTAGTTTCATATTATGTATTCAGGGATCAATGTTGTCTGCTGTCTTCTCTTCCCTACTCCTTTCTAACAAACCATCAAATGCTATCTATTCCAGGCTCTTAATGTTCTTCAAGTCACTCTTCCTTCCAATTCCATTTGCATGGGCAAATCTAGTTCAATTCTCCCCAGTCATAGCTTCTTCCATGCCATCCATTCTTCCAGCAGTTATGACATCTCTCACTAGTCTTCCTGGCCTGAGTCATTCCCCTTCCAATCCATTCTCCACACACCTGTCACACTGGGACAGTAACTGAACTTCCAATTTGTATAAAGCCCAAGAAATGTGGTGGAGATATTTCACTATGATTCTCAAATAAAGTATCTTTTCCCCCAAATGTCAACATTGTTATGTTAGCCACTCTTAGTTTTCAAATAGTTTGATTACTCTCTCCTTTGCTTCTCATATAGTTTACAAATACACCAGCAAAAGAATGTTGTAAAGACATTGAAACATAAAGACAGAAGAACTGAACTCAGTTCTAGTAGTTCTAGTTTCAACTCATCTATTTATCAGCTGTTGATTTTGAGTAGTCATCTCCTTTCCTGGAGGTGAATGGCAGAACTTTGCTCACCAAATGGCACAATAATATTAATCCTATCTGTCTCTCCAGGTTGTTCTGAGATTTAAGGAAGTTCACATACAATGAAATTCCAAATATACGGTTACTACGCTCCCTGAAGATCTGCAAAAGTATAAACTTGCTTCTTTTGTTTAACACTAAATTCAGATTGGGACCCAAGAGGTATCTGTGATCACACTCTTAAGTCTTACAGCTTTCTTTTGGAAAGAAGTTTGTTTTGGCTTCCCCCACACCCCCCGAAAAAGAGCACCAAAGGAATTAAACTGTAATATACTTTGATGTCAAAGACACTCTGAATCTAAAAGAGTGGGAAAAAGGAAAGGGAGCTCAAAACAGTGACAAATCTCAATTGTGTGAACCTGCCATTTAATTAAAATCACTCAACTGCCATATGTAGCACAGATATTAATGCCATCTTCTTCAAACTCTGCTAATATCTCCAGACATTACTGGACACTAATGGAAAATATGTACCTATTCTCTGTCATTGTGTTGTAGAGTTTTAAATGAAAGAAATGTAGAGTGTGTGCAATAGGATGTTTGTTTGTTCTGTTTCCAAAGAGGAAATAAAAGATATCAACCAAATATTCCTTAATATATAATTAGCACTGTGACCTCAGCTCAAGGAAGTCTTTATTTTAGACATTGAAAATGACAAAAAATGCTGCTAATCCATGTTTTCCTCTCCTTCAACCCCTGAGTTCTCATGAGCATCCCATCCTGCTGGTTTCCGGGTAACTTTTATATGGGCTTTTGGATGAGCATTGGTTGCAAATACTTTTGGATGATACTGATTATCCTACTTAACCTCTTTACTGTTTTGGATCACTGGGTAATTAGCCAAACAGGGCACTGAGGATCATAAACTGAAAAGAAACAGATATAGCATATCTGTGCAGTATTGATTTCATCAGGCTAATGGATTGAAAATGGTAATTTTAATAGTGCTTTTTAAAATTATTGTTAAAAATCAAATAAAATTCATCATCTTAATCATTTTTAAGCATATAGTTCAGTTTATATAGTTTAAGCATATTCTTCATCATATTCATATTGTTATACAACCAATCTCCACAACTTCTTTGTCTTGCAAAACTGAAACTTCGTGCCCGTTAAGCTACCACCTCCATTTCTCTTTCCAAAACCCCTGATAACCATCATCTTACTGTCTGTTTATATAAATTTTACTATCTAGATAGTTTTATAAGTGGAATCATATAGTATTTGTCTTTTTGTGACTAGCTCACTTCACTTAGCATAATGTTCTCAAAGTTTATCTATGTGGCAACATGTGTCAGAATTTCTTCCCTTTTTTAGGCTGAATAAAGCCTTAAATAAAAATACTCTAATGTACATACCATATTTTGTTTGTGTTCATCCATCAATGGACACTTGAGTTACTTTCACCTTTTGGATATTGTAAATGATGTTACTATGAACATGGGTATACCAATATTCCCTCAACACCCTGCTTTCAAATCTTCTGGATATATACACACAAGTGGAATTGCTGGGTCCTACGGTAATAGTATTTCTTTTTAACATAATTGTTTACAATAGTTTTGATTTACAAAAAATTGAAGATAATACAGAAAGTTCCTCTAGTGTTCCATACCCAGTTTCCCCTATTATTAGTATCTTACATATGTATGGTACATTTATTACAATTAATGAACTAATATTGATATGTTATTGTCAACTAAATCCCATACTTCCTGTCTCTTTAATTTTTATCCAGTGCCCCCATGGTATTTCAGAGTGTCATTTAGGATACCGTATTACATTTAGTTATCATGTTTCCTCTTTGCTGTGACATTTTCTTAGACTTTCCTTGTTTTTAATGACCTTAATAATTTGACAGATATTTTGTAGAATTTCTTTCAATTGGGATTTGCCTGGTGTTTTTCTCATGATTAGACTGTGGCTATGGGATTTTGGGAGGAAGACCACATAGGAAAAGTGCCATTTTCATCACATCATATCAAGGGTCTGTAAATTCAATACGGCATCACTACCGATGTTGACCTTGATGAGATAGTGTTTGTCAGGTTTCTCCACTGAAAAGTTAGTCTGCCTTTTGCTGCTTTCCACAGTATTTTTGGGAAAGAAGTCACTATGTGTAGCCCACAATTAAGAAGAAAGGAGTTATTTTCTACCTCCTTGAGGATATTGTATCTACATAAATTATTTGGAATTCTTCTACACAGGAGATTTATCTCTTCTTCTCATTTATTTATGTTTCAATTATTTATTCATAATTATATGAACTCGTGGGGGATATTATATTTTATACTTTGGATTATAATCCAATAGTACTTTATTATGCTCTGCAAATTGTTCCAGATTGGGTCATCATTAGCTCTTTCAGTTGGCTCCTGTAGTATTTTTCCTGTTGATGCAATGCATATTGCATTATGTATCACAACTCAATATTTCAGCCTTGACATCTAGCATATAGCTCTGTCTGGGTAATACAGCTGAGAAAAGGCTTATTCAAGTACAATGAAAGACAGAGAGTATTATGAAGCAGGTGTAATGGACATTGAGGTGTGCCACCAGATGCCCCCTTCAAGACTGAACTATTCATTTCCCCAGCTGATTATCAGTGGCTGATGGCCCTCAACAGAAACCTTCCAATTACGAGTTGCTGCAGGGCATAAAGAACCTGCACTGAGCCCTCATTTGGCCTGATTCTGAGGCCACATCCCAGCTGCTGAGTTCCCCATGGAATCAGCTTTCCCCTCTACCCAGGAATGTTTCCTGTATACACAAACAACACTAGGTAACCTCAAGTAAGGGAGATAAGGTGAAAGTCAGTATATTGAACACAAGCAACTGGAAAGAAATTGGTTACAGAGAGGAGAGAATTTAAATTGTGAAAAATGTAGTGAGTCAGGTCAGGCTAGGTTATAAGGAATCCTGAAAGCCAGGCAAAAAGTTTAAGATTGAATTAGTAGCAATAAGTCTAACTGGGGGTGCAGTCCAATAAAGTATGATGTAGCCATACGAAGAAATAGTATCTAGCTATAAGAAACCAGAAATTGTAGCTAACATGTAGTCTAGCTATTAATGAGCAGGGCATACTTTGTATGCACTATGTCATTAAATCTTCATTACAACTATTAAGATCTTAATTTTGCAAATGACAAAACTGAAGCTCAAAAATATTCACTACCTTACCCAAGATCACATAGCTAAGAAGCCCACTGGAGAGATTCAGACTTTACTCTATTACTCTTTAAGTAATGCTATTCTACTCACCATGTCTTAAAGAATATGTAATCATAAGACATGGCAAATATTTCATAAATGATAAATGAAAGAACTGGATACACTCGATATACAATAGAATCACAATTTTGTT